TATAGGGAAAGTCCTTAGATATTGGCTATACTTTGTCTTCAGGCTTAAATAAAATTTAAAAAAAAATAATTTCCAATTTTGACAATTTAATTGTGTAAAAATTAGTAAACTTTAGTAAATGTTGTTTTTAAAATGAGCCCTCCTAAAATACAACTCGTTTTGCCACAATTTGTGTTGTGTGGGTAGATTCTAACAATAGCAGAAAATGTATTTTCTATGCACGAATGTGTCCATTTATCGCGTGAATGGAGGCTTAAGTAAACATTGAAATGTGCCAGCTAATAAATATGACTGCATCAAATAAAAATATTTAATATAGCGGAAAGTAGGTCGTGTTTAAATTTTCCCGTAATGCCAGCAGATGGAGTAATATTTTTGTGGATATAAACTTCCCCATACGATATGGTTACTGTAACGTCTGGAACTTTACTACCGATTTTATTGAATGAAATATCATTTTTATTGCGCATAAAAATAAAACTTCACGAATTCATTTGAAACGGGCGAAGTTTTAGTTCTCTTGAATATACTGTCGAGCACAGTAAAAAGTTTCCGACCTAAAAGTTTATGCAAAATAGAGTTTTATTTTAGGACCCCTTAGATGATAATCTTTTATCATCCGTGACTGTACATCACCGTCACGCCAGGCCGATAGGGTAGGCATTAGGGTGCCGCTAAATACGTATCGAATAATTTGATCGATGCGAAGCTTGCAGTCGCCCTAACATTTCCGATCTCTGATCATAATATGCCACTCCCTCTTCACTAGCTTCATTATGTTCGTAAGAATTGTTACTATAAATTTCCATATTTATAAGAATTTGTAGGTATGTACAGATTATACTCTTGTAGGGCTTTATGAAGATTAACTTAGTTTTATTGTTATATCCTGAATCAGTGAGGTGTAAATATAAAATAAATCGTCCCATTTGGAAAAACATTCGCTCCGCCACAATTAAACCTGAGTATATAAAGGAAGGCTAGTAAAATATTTTCTCCAAATAAACACGAAATTCCAATGAGATCGCGTGTTTTTGATTCACAAGAATAAACGAGATTCAGTTCCGCTCCAATTCGGTTAGTCATGGAAAAATGGGATTATCCCTGTTATGTTTATTTACCTAATTTTGTCTTTTGTTTCGAGAAAAAACATGGAAGTCGTTGTATAAACAGCAGAAGCGTCGAGCTGAAAAACGTGAATTGCATCACCGCTGGATAAATATATGCCTATGCTGCCCAAACTGTTCAGTTTTGAGTAAAAAGGGGGAATTTCGTAAACAGCAGTGTAAGTTTCACAATATCCTAAATTAGAGAAGGTAGGGTCTCGTGTATTTTTCTAGTTTTAGTACCAATAAGAGAAAATTCATAAATTTTCAGGCCAAACATTTTAAATCTTGATAATCAGTAGGTATTAAAGAGCGGACAATCTAGTATAGGTCTACAGTATCCGTAGAGCGGTTTGTGTTCTTACGGCTAAATTTAACAATTAAGCTTTTTTTTACTTCTAATGTCTGTTGCTTAGCCTTTATCTTGAAGTTCTTGAGACATTTGTAAAGATTGTTTTCTGATTTGAGTTTTTTCTAATATAATAATCCTTTCTCTTATCTAAATGTTTATTCAAGTTTCTGGATCTAGCTCCAAAGCATGCTTTTCCATCAGAACTATCTTTTGAATTCAAAAAATGTTTACTTAATTTTATTCCTAAAGATAAATTCAAACTTAAGTGCCATCAAACAAAAATATATTTGCTTGATATTAGATCTCTTAAAGGAAAACGTTGATAAATATTTAAATTATGGTCAGATTGGTTTTCATTCGAATCTGTCGCATTTCTGGATAGCGTGATAAAGAAGTGTCATCATCACAACAATTCTCATTTTTTATTTATCTAGTGGTTAACGTTAGAAGAATTTGTAGAGAATCATTATTCGAGTAGTGTGGTTTAAAAAAATGTGATATCACTGCTGGTGTTTACATAAATAATGTATAAAAATATCACACATGACAAGTCTCTGGTTTCCTTAATTAAACTATAAATAAAGAACGATAAGATAAAATTACTATTTACACCTTTTCAAGAACACCGTAAAAATAAACTGGTTGTGTAAGAGGGATTCTTACCGTTTTGTTTTTATTTGAAATACATTTTTCTGAGAAGATAAAAGTCGCACGGTGCCAAATCGGGCGAATAACTGGGGCGGTTGACAGTTAAAATGCTATTTTTGGTCAAAACCCCCCGAGTGGGGATTTAGAAGGCAATTACTCAGCTATTCGATGTTTTCCAGAAGACCCCCCACCTTGCCCCCCTGTGGGGCTCCAGGGGCGTCGGGCATACTTTTCAGTGTCAGAATCGAAATCCCCGACCTCGAAAACCCGTGCATACAAATTTCTACAATTTTTAGTCAATTTCTACCATTTTTAGAAAATTCGGAAAAATTGATGTATTCCAAGATGCACTTTCGCAACGCAACGCAACTCGATCGGTTCATCAGAAAGAATTTTCTGATTTATTGTCTAACTTGCCTGGTCTACAGAGTTATGATCAAAATACAACTGTTAATTCGCTTTTTCGGAAGAAGAAATCAGTAAAAAAACTGCTGAATTTTTCACGAGATGTAAAATGAAAGGTAATTCTTCTATAAATTACATTTTTTATGTGCTAACAATATATTATACAAGTTTAAGCGGTTTAGAATGCATATTTTTGAAAATATTACGTTTTGATTGATTTTTTTTTAATTCCAAAAAAGTATTATATTATTGAAAATAAATTTAAAAATAAAAAAGATACGAAAAATATTCAAGAGTATAGAAGTTTAAATATTTTTACATAGAATACCTATTTTGTTTTTTTTTATTTGTGTAGGATAAAAATTAACCGAGATGTCGCTGCTAGAAGTTTGCAGTTGAGGGCGAAGGTCATGTTTTTCAAACCCTTTAACCTCAAAAATAACACTTTAGAAAATACTTATTCAATTTTACAGTACTTTTAGCTGTCGAAATTTTCCATAAAATCGTTTTTGGATCGCCTTGATAGCTTTAAAATTAAGGAAGTTATCGTTAAAAAACTAACGGTACCTTACCGTTCCATTTTAAATAATTTAAAAGCCATTTTTTTATATTCTGACATTGGGGGTGGTTTTGAAGGGTTTAAAATAATGCGATAAATTATAATAATAGTTACTGTAAGTACTTCTTACAGTAACACCAAAAAACCCTTAAAAACCACCCCCAGTGACAGAATAGAAAAAATGACTTAAATTATTTAAAATGAAACGGTAAGGTACCGTTAGTTTTTATTTATTATAAATTGTATTATAAATAGGTAAAATAATTTAATTTATCCAGTTTGTACTATCAAATTATTTCAAACTGTTAAAAACTATTTTTTTTAATATTTTGTTATTAGGGGTAGTTTTTTAAGGGTTGAAATATTGTAATAAATTATTTATAACACCATAAACTATCGAAAAGATTTCTATCTATAATACAGGGTGTCCGCAAATTTCATCGACAACGTTTGACTGCATATTCACGACGATAAATAAATACGATCTACGAAAAAAAAGTTAAATAAAAACTTTTTGGTTTTTAAGTTACAGGCCTTCAAAGATGTCAAAAATAAAACTAATTTAATCAATAACTTCATAACTCTTTTACCGATCGCGTTCAAATTTTGCAAATTTATTTGGACTATTATGGCGTATTATTTCTTATAGCTTTAGTCAGATCGATATACTGGGTGATAGTTTTCTCCGGTTACTTCTCCCTTTTAGCAGTCAAAACTTTTACACTGGTCGTATTTTTCTAAAATGGTTAGCAACACTGAAAAAGGTCGTTTTATTTAAAAAAAAATATCGTCTCTTGAGAAAATCGTCTTCAGAAAGCCATTCTTGAGAAAAATGGCATTATTTGCAGGTCCGTATGTTTCGGTTTGCGTAGCAATGTCACGGATTTAAAACTTTGAGTTTAGTAGGCGATGAAAACAAGATGTTGATTGCTGTGGCTATCAGGTGGTGTCATTATTGTCGTGTTTCTTTAGGATTCTCATCACTCCACTCCAATGCGTTGTTCCATTACACAGGGTTATCCAAAAGTCCCGGTACGGCAGAAGAAAGCATTTTGGGAAAGTGACCTTGGATTTGACCTTGAATTTGATCTTCAAAGTCACTTGAAGGTCAAGTTAAGTTTTTTAAATGGAATTTTTTTTTGCGGATTTGGAAAGAGCAGGAAATTTTATGTCCAAATATGGTCTTTGACCATGACTTTGACAATGACCTTCAAAGTCAAATGTGGGTCGACTTTCAAAAGTCCCGGTACGGCAGAACTTTCGAAGAATACAATTTGGGAAATATGTGTCAGACAAATGTGTAAGGATTTTTCCCTAGCTATCTGATGGTGACCTTGAATTTGACCTTGACTTTGACCTTCAAGGTCATTTTAAGGTCAAGTTAAGCTTTTTAAATGAGAACCCCTATTTTTTATTACTGATTTGGGAAGAGCAAGGTCATTGCCAAAGTCATGGCCTTTAACCTTCAAGTGACCTTGAAGTGACCTTGAAGTTTAAATTCAAGGTCAAATCCAAAGTCACCATCAGATAGCCAGAGAAAAATCCTTACAGTTTTGTCTGAAACAATTTTTCCCAAAATACTTTCTTCGAAAGTTTTTCTGCCGTACCGGGACTTTTGGATAACCCTATATATTTGTAGGGGTAAAAATTTGGGGTTTATGGAAAATGGCCACAATGGCGATGGTTTCTGCCTCGGTGTCTTAGACTAATAAGTTATTTTAATGTTAATAATATTTCAATAGTTTTTTGTATTTTTGCTTCACAATCTCTACATGTTTGGATTGTGACGTGCGGAGAGCCAGTATCAACTGCCAAGAGAACGAATGTCACCATCAACAGTTCACGCGGAACGCCCTCGACCACCGGTGAGGTCAGAAAAACCACCGATGCCTCCTGCTTTTTCCGCATAAATACGGCCCGCCAGCAGCGCGACGTTGTTTTGTCGCTTAATTACCATCCCGCAGATCGCGATCCTCCGTCGACACCGCGCGCAAGCGTCCATTCAAAAATAATCTCCGCCGAGAGCGCGAAGCCCTCGACGCCGCCAGCTCAGTGCGTATTTTATCAGGTTCAAATATCTTCGCAGCATCGAGACGGCCGGTGTACCTTTCCCGCAAAAGGGCCTACAGTTTGTTTCTCCGTTAACAGGCTGGTTACGGTTCGCGAGGTACTCGCTAAAGTTAATTGTGAGTGTTTGAGAGTGCTGCAGGGGTTCAACATGCGTCTCGTTTTGGTGGTGCTCTTCTCTCTCCTCTTCGCTACCGGTAAGTCACCACGGGGGTATTTCGGGATGTAAACAAAGGGGGTCTTTGTTGGTGCCTTAGCTTTTTCTTTCCTCCAGGATTTTTGATGGTATTGACGATGTGATTAATTGAGAAGCGTGCCTTGATAGGGCTGGAAGGCGCAACAGTTGGTTTAAAGTCAAAATGTATTGTTTGGGCACCAAAAGATCATACGTAGTGCTTGAGTGGTTTTGAAAGTTAGTACCTAAGATTACATGGCAAAAAATTATGTCAAATGTTCACACAGTTGGAGCATTATTGATTGTAATTCATATAAAATATACGACGGACTACAATTTGTGTCACATTACCAACAAATTGTATTTAAAATTTCTCTAGATTGTAGGTTTTGTCAAGTTACTATTTTATATTGTTTGTAAATGTTCACAAATAGTCTCTAGAAACTGTCAGGATGCTGCAAAAATTTTCACATATAAATTTTATTTAGAAAATGATTACATTAATTTAAGTTGTAATAGTACAATTTTTGAAATCAAACACAAGTCCAGCCAACCAATGAATTTTGAAAACATTGTTAAAAATGGTTACAACCCCTTGTCGCGTCACATGTCACTAACATTTTGCATCTTCTATGCGCCAATAAATAAGAAATTTTTACACAGTATCGATATCTTCAAGTTCTGCAAATAAATCCATTTATTGTACTTTGTTTTGTACGATTATTCACAACCAGAACGGACACCAAGAACAACATTTAATACGTCTGCATTTGTGATAGAACTAAAGCTAAGTAATCTAATAAAATAATGTAAAGGCGTAAAGGCCATAGGCGTAGCAAAAAATCTTACTGTGTATGTCCACATTCTTTTGAAAAATATCTACAAAGAATTTTAGATAGAAAAACAACATTGTGGTAACAACGTATTTTTAGTAAATATTTCCAAAATATGTAGGTACTACTTTCTTTACGAACACAGAGGTTAAATTTTATTGCAACAAAATTAACAGTTTTTATGGACGAAGATACACAAAAACAGCACAAAATGTTATTAAAAAAGCTTCTCAGAATAATTGTGTAAAATTTCGATTTGTTACTTGATTTCAGTTGTTTCCGCTAACTTCTAAATGGGGTGCGACAAAATATTCAAAAATTTATATCACAATGTCGAGTATGTGTGTAAAATTTTAATGTTCTATATGTACTCTGAGAAAAATATTCAGTCAAGCAACTGTTAATTTGAAATATGTTTTACTCGTGTTGTTCTAACCTTTAAGAGATATCAACACGTAAATATAGCCATGATAGATGGATCTCAGCGTTTCCGCATTAATGAAACCTGGTATATTAGTCCAGTCAATTATCATTTTCCCGTATAATTTTGCCAAACAGCACCGATTTTCATAAAAATTTGGATTTAGGTTCTACTTACCCTCTACTTCAAAGTTGACCCTATACCGGGGGTCGCTTTTACCCTGGGGGTGGATGCCACCCCTTTTCTGGGGTTCATTGAAAATAACTCCGGACATGGAAGTCGATATTTTTCGACTTATTCGCGAGTGAAAATGTAAATAACACTTTTTCGGACGGTTTTTCGGGTATAACTATAAAAATGTAGCCTATAAAAAAAACAAATAGAATAGTGTGTTTATGGTGTCTATAGACCCAATACAAGCGGAGTAATAGCTTGTTGAAGGTTGGTTCTTATTCGTCAAACGCCAAAATTGAAATTTTGAACGTGAAATAACCAAAAACCAATGCATTTTTCAGGGAATACCCATAGAACCTTTTTTAAACTGTTTGAAAAAACCTTTATTTTTATTTATTTATAAAAGTCCCTAGCATATAACATAAGCGAGTTATGACGAAAATAAAGTTGGTCCGTATATTTTCGGCAACAGAAAACGTGAAAATCACCCCCTAATTACCACCTCAATTGAAAATAATCGTTACCACTTTAAAATTTACTTTATTTATGTACTTGTAATATGCTCTAGAAGTTTGACCGGTTTGAAGTGCTTAGTTTTGAAAAAAGTTGAGCTTGAAGTGAAAAGAGAAGTTTTGTATTTTTGGAAAAAATTGTCTTTTCTTCAAAATAACTCAAAAACTATTAATTATACGCAACATTTTGTAGAGTACAAAATTGTAGGTTTTGCTTTTTTGAAAATTTTTTCCTGTAGGATAAAAATTAAGTAAGATATGGCCGTTTAAATTTTGCATATGTTCGCAAATAGCAACTTGTTCAAACCCTTTCAGCTCAAACCCTTACTTAAAAATAAGGGCTAAAAGAAAATGTAACTTATTTGATCTTATAGCCCTTGAAAAAAACTACAAAATGGTTTTTTGAAGGGCTTGATAGCATAAAAACTAAGCGAGTTATGGGTAAAAAACCAATCACATATTTTTGCAGATATCAGACCTACGTATGTTGAAGCATTAGCTATATTTTAGGAATAGAAATAGGAATTTTAGGAATAGAAATAGGAATTTTAAGAATAGAATAGAAAAGGAAGACGAAAGTGAAGAGGATTTTTGATTATTTATATGTTTTTTCAATAAAAAAATGTTGTTATAAAAATATCTTCAATGACTGGACTATATTCCAACTTTTCAACTACCTTTTGAGTTTTGAGGGACAGAGTTTTTTTGGGACGCCTCGCCTGCAGCTTCTATTATTCTCATGCTTCAGACCAATATAAAACCAATTCGTTCCAAAACAAATGCGGGTGAGGCCGAATTCTCCCTAATAACCTAATTATAAACCCAATTTGATTTCGCTTTGAAGAAATATTTGTCTTGGTTATTTTTAGCAATGTTTTCATGCTCCATGGCCGTTCTAAAAATAAAACGGTATTATTTTCTGCATCTGCAATTCGTATACTTAAGTTATTACTTAATATTTTCTGGCTTGCCGGGCGTGTTTTTTTAATACAAATGAAAAAGAATTACGACATCTCCTTTCAAATTCTGCAGACACTTTAATTACATAAAATTGTGTGCATTGGGAATTAGATGTAAGCGTTAAAAAGTAATGTGCATATTTTGGACAGTCACTATACTTGTTAAATTCAGCTATTAGAATCCACAAAATATTTTTATACTATACTTACGTAAAACCATAACAGTAGATTTCGTACTATTTAAATACAATTTGTTGGTAACGTGAATTTATAATTAGTTTTTACATTTTCCATAAGCATATAATCCCGAAAATATGTGGTGAAAAAATCAGGTCGATATCTTTAATATTGACCCTCATAAATAATTTTTAATTCGGTTCAAGCCGTTCCCAGAGCATTTGTGACGTCACACCACTCGACTGGCTCCAACCAACAGCTCTGTGAGCTATTAGCTATTGTATCAAGTTATTTATAGTATAGTCAGCAAATTTAACAGTTATGTAGAAAACATTGCAAACTAAATTTTAAATTACTTTTTTACTATGAAAATTTCTAGGGGGCGGCCCCAGAACCCCCCACGTTAGGCGCCACTGAGTATAGTATAAGTTTTTCTCCCAATTTGTCGTATAGTTTTATTTTTTTGCGTTTTTTTAATATTCCTCCGTGTACATCTTCGAAAAAATTGATTTGGGACAATGAGACTTACCATTTGTTGCACTTTTTCGTACTTTGGGAATTTACACGTCATTTTCATTAAGTCATTTATTATGTAGATGATACAACAGATTCCTGGTTCATTTTGTGCAATATAATTAATTTGCTGGCGGTGCTGTTAGCATGTCTATTAAAACGGGAGTTAAAAATAAACTTCAAGCAAAATGCGTAACGGGGAAAATTCAGCTTTAATAATGTTATAATGTGTATAATACTAACCTTGCAGGGTGCCATAAAAGTTTTATAACGTATGGAAAAAGACGTAAACTGATTAGTTCGTTTACTTATACGATTCACGAAATAGAAATCTTATTTTGTTTGTTGCTCCGTCGTTTTTTTTTAATTTTGGCATCAATTATTATGCATCTCGTTACATATTAAAAATAGAAACTGTTCAACAGATGTCTGGGACTTATTATGTCACCTACATACATTTTTTTAGGTGAATTTCCCTGTTTGTTTGACATTTAAGTATGCAAATATCGGATTTGTCGTTCTATGTGGGCTACCTAAAATGCATGAAATCGGTTTTTATTGTGAAAGTTTTATTCTTCCAAAATGCATAAGTTCTAAGATATAAGTAAAAAACTCAGATAAAATAGGTATTTTTTAAATTGTTTTAACATTTTTACAATTTTGAAAATGTTCCGAACCTCGCCCAGATTTAGGGATCTACACTTTTATTATATGAGTTATACTGAAGTTATTGTCTTTAGTATTTGAAAATTTTACTTTTGTTAGAGACATTACAGTAACTATAAACATCGCGTTATTAAATTTTTCCTTAACAGTTCTATATTTGAGAAACAATATAAACACAAACATATCAAGAGAACGTAATTAATACATACTTTTAGTAGGGCAAAGTCGATATTACCTATTATAGCTTTTACATTAATTATAAACAAATATTACTTAGCTAACCCCTTTGGCAAGCAATGTCGCTTTCTAGGTCATGTTTGAACAACCTTTCTTTAATCATACAAGCTTGTTTGTTTTCTTTCCTTCGCGTATGTTGCGCATTTTTCGTAAACATATTTATTTTGCGTCCGTGTAATTTACTACGTTTTTCGTGACATACCTGTTCTGTTGGCGTTTAAAAATTTTGAAATTTGATAATAAAACGACAATTATCACCGTTCCTCGCTTTGTCTGCCTCGAGTTTACGTTTGGATTTGAGGCAAGAGTAGGTGTTCGTACACGTGCGTTTATCCCGTTGATTTATGCCAGCAAATATTTAAATGAAAATGAAAAGTGACATCATTCCAGATTGCGAAGCGTTATTTTAAAATTATTTATGTTCTAGTGGGTTTGTCTGATGGCACAGATGTTCGAGAAATATCCTAGATTTCTGCTATTTTATTATTATATTTATTGTAATTTGTAATGTTTCAAATATATATTTATAG